GGAATGAGGAGGGAAGAGGGAGAAGGGAGGATGAAGGGGGAGGAGGAGGAGGGAGGAGGGGAAGAGGGAGAAGGAGGAGGAGGAGGCGGAGGAAGCGGATGATGAATGAGGGAGGAGGGCGGAGGGAGGAGGGAGGAGGGAAGACAGAGGAGCGAAGACAGAGGAGGAGGAGGAGGAGAAGGAGAGGAGGAGGAGAGGAGGAGGAGGGGAGGAGGAGGGACGCGTAGGAGGCGGAGGAGGGAGGCGGAGAGGAGGAGGAGGAGAAGGCGGAGGAGGAGGAGGCGGAGGAGGAGGAGGAGGAGGAGGAGGCCGAAGAGGGCGAGGAGGGCCAGAAGGGAGGACGAGCCCCCCCCCTCCGTCCCCGCCAGCGCCTGGGCCCGTGCAGCGCGGACAGCGAGGGCAGCACGCGCTCCTGCGGCGGCTCCGACAGCGAGGACGCGGCGGCGGACGCGTCGCCGCGCCCACGGTGGGGGGGCGCACCCCCAGAAGCAGGAGCAGGAGGAGGAGCAGGAGGAGGAGGAGGAGGAGGAGGAGGAGGGGGAGGGGGAGGGGGAGGGGGAGGAGAGGGAGGAGGAGGAGTGAGGAGGAGTGAGGGAGGAGAGGGAGGGAGGGAGGGAGGAGGGTGGAGGGAGGGAGGGCGGGAGGAGGTGAGTGAGCGAGTGAGTGAGTGAGTGAGTGGGTGACTGACTGACTGACTGACGGAGTGCGTGGGTGAGTGCGTGGGTGGGTGCGTGGGTGGGCGCGTGGGTCTTAGGAGGAGAAGCAGGGAGGGAGGGAGGGGCAGCAGCGGCCGAAACCCCAGACATCAAGGGCGCCCTCGAGGGCGCGAAGTTATTCGCGCTTCGCGGTTCGGCTCCGATTCCTCTGCGTCCTCCTCTTCTCCCCTGGGAGGCGGCGCGAGAGCGTGAAGTTATTCGCACTTCGCGCAGCGCGAAGCTGGGAGCCCTCGGACATGATCGCGGCGTGCACGATTCAGGACGGAGGTTTTCCGCCGTGCTCGGACTATGGAGGTCATTGCCGGGCCCTGGGGCCGTCAGAGAACGACGCAGGACGGAAAGCCGGTCCCAGGGAAAGGATCGGGTTTTTTGGCGATTGCGTTTTGAAATAGCTGGACGTCGCATGTCTGGGATCTGGGCGTTGCAATTTCTTTTCGCACCGCGCGTCGCCCAGTTTCGAGGCCCAGGACCATCGCAGATCGATCCGGCTCGGGAGGCGTAGCAGAAACATGGGGTCTTGGGCTTCGGTCGTGACTTTTCGCGGTGTTGCACTCTTGTCGGTGGCGTCGGATCTCAGGGTCTGGAAGCCCTTTATTTGAGCCACAGGACCGTTCAAACACTTTTCGGGGTGAAACGCCGGTCCCCTAGACGCCCGGGGGGGGTCCAGACCTTTGGGAAGCTACGTTGTGAAAACCAAAAAAACACGACGTGGGTGCGGTCGGTGGTACGTGGGTTCGCGTCGTGCTTCGACGCGGCAGCGATCCCGCCGCGGGCGTTCGAGGTTGAACGCCGCCAGGGGCCTGGAGTCGGCAGGTATGGAACGACCTGGCGATCGAAGAGCCACCGCTCGCTCTCGAGGCTGAACATCAGGAGGGGAAAAACCACACAGACACAAGTAATCGTCGATCCCCAGGAAAATATTGGAAAATATGTGTGGGAAGTAGGGGGGATAACGAAAACCCAGAAGGTATAGGAAACTATGGGGAGTCCTGGGACTTGTGCCAACTTCTTTGTGTGTGTCCCTGGGCCCTTGAGAAGAGCCACCGCTCGTTCTCGAGGCGGAACGATCCGCGCGGTGTCAGGAGCCAGCGCCGCCACCGAAGCACGAGTCGAGCCCGCCGTGAAGCACGGGGCGCTCCAGGCTACCGTCGGGGACCGAGCCTCCCGCCCCGCGGAGCGGAGTGACAGGCGTCGCCCCAAAAACATACGACACCACCTCCTCCTCCTGCTCCTCCTCCTCCTCCTCCTCCTCCTCCTCCTCCTGCTCCTCCTCCTCCTCCTGCTCCTCCTCCTCCTCCTCCTCCTCCTCCTCCTCCTCCTCTCCCTCCCCCACTTCCGGCCGTCCATGTTGCGCTGCGGCCCATCGGGGGCCGTAGCGTATACCACGCGAAAGCCCACGGCATAGTAGCTGGTATACGCTAGGCCCCGTGGGGCCGTACGGTAGGTTCGCGTCGTGTCGACCAGCGGCGACCCCGCCGCCAGCGTTCAACGTCGAACGCCGCTGGCGTCCCAAGATCGGTCGATGTTGAACGATCTGACGTTTCAGCAAACGGCCGATCGTTCAAGGTTGAGCGATCCCCGCGGTGTCAGGAACCAACACCGGGGTCGGCACGACACGAACTTGCCGTAGGTTGGGTGGCGTGGTGTTCTCTCTGGCGAAACGCTATCCACTCGCAGGGCACAGCACGTCGCCAGGGCCGCCGCGGCGACACCCCACCCAGAGGTCCCCGACCGCAGGGGTCTCGCAGGGGATGCCCGCGGGGGATGGCTGGGCCGTGGCTGCT